AAAATCAGAAAAAGAAGTGACATTAGCCCTTGACAGAACACCAGATCCCAGTTTGTACGTGCCCAGTTAACTCCATCTCCAACACTACGCCCTCATCCGCACAGCTGATTCCCCGATAAGAACTCTACGACCGTACAAGTGACGATTTTCATGCTTTTTCGTCCTGCAGCTTCGTTTTCACTGAAAGGCGGCCTTGAAGGCGGAGTCTGGAGGCGGAGTCACTGGAAAAAAGGAGGCGTCACTGAACCTATATTGCGCTATAGCGCCCCTCCCTTACAATTTTTTGCCGCGAAACCGGTACAAGGTTGTTCGTCGCGGACCACACTACCCTCCTGACGCCATATTTTCAACTTCTATACCTGATCGCAGACCGTACCATAAGGCCACCGAGGGCCTGCCCAGTGCCGTGGATAACAGAGTCCATATTGACGGCCCGGAACCCACACTGTATCGAATTTGCTATGACAAACATTCGCATGGTCTAAAGCAAGAAGGCGGTCTGTGCCTGAGAAAAAATATAGTGAGCCATGAATCTGATTCTCGAGTGTTCCCCAATAATGGTTTATTTAAACGGTGACTACTTTTTGAAATTTGATTGGTTGTATTCTGTCTCTCATGGTCAGATTAGACTGGAATACGAAATGCGACATTTGGTTTTATGCGGTTAATAATCGAAACTTTACAATCTCGTCCCTAAAATCTCATGGCAATCTGGCAGCTTTCATACAGGGTTGTTTGAATCCTTTCCAAAACCACATTTGGTCGCATAATGATTGATAAGGCAGAATATCTCGAAAGCAACTCCACTCACGCCTGTAAATCATAGCCTTGTCATAGACGAGGTGCAGTGGCGTGCCACTTTCTCCGCTCAAAAGTGCACAGGACTTGTGCTGCAAGGCAATGATACCAAGACCTTGCTCTTCGACTCCGCCCGCGCCGCAGTGGAACCAGCACACGACGCCTAACCATAGGCGAAACCGTCACTAATTGTCCGCCGCTCTCCGTACCACTTCGATGTTCTTTACTTCTGATTGTGTGCCGCCTGCTGGTCTCGTGTCGACGCAATTGTTGTCTGGCACCTGAGGATAGCGCGGCGCGTAGAAATGCGAAACGGAAAGCCGGTCATACTACGCCCTGCACCCCTCCCACCCGCAGCAATTTCACGCAGAAATGTGGCACGCTAGATGTCACTGCTGCCCCTAGTCGAGGCGAGGATCCACGGAGGTGAGTGTACAGCTTGTCTTCTAGAGCTTTTCTTCGCTATAAGTCTATGTCGGTGTTCAAGCTCTAGCTGTGTGTCCAAACAATAGCGATTAACATGCGTGTCATGTGTAATCACCAGTGTCCCATTGAACAAACATTCCAAATAAATGCGATTTCAGTACGCGTCGAATGAAAAATTCATGGTGAAGAGCCGCGACTTTCTATGCGGAAGAATGAAGCAAAAGGTTGCCGATGGTTTTGTTCTCTCGGGTCGATCCTGCGTTGTCGACTCGGTTCCTCCAGGCAAGGACGCCGTCAGGTGAATCTTTCAACAAGGCTTTGGCTACAGTACTGTGCTATCTAAGGGCTTCGAACGACTCGATTGTTCTCGGAGGTTATTTTCCAACTTTGAGACATATTCACCCAGATGAGTAGAGAATATTCGAAAGTTGAAGAAAATCCAAAATGTCATAATTTTACTGAGCGTTTGGCGTATGGGGTCAGTCTATCAGTCTTGCTGGAAGGAAACTGACAACCATGTCACATTAGAACCTACCATGGTGTTGTTCACCAAATGTGATAACATGCCTGTATGGGGGAAGGCAATTCACTGCACATTCCATACCTCAGACGGCTATATTTAATTATCAGCTTGCAACAGGCGAGCTTGCAACTGCGTTCATACATTGCAGCAGCGTCACCCAGCGTCTGCCAGCGCCTATCAACGTTTACCAGACCGGGAGTGGAGAGTATGGGGAAGTAGGAGGGTAGCAAACAGCTGGATTAGGCGTCGTGAAATTGCGGCGTGTGCAACCGCACCGTACAACTACACTACACCGTACATTAAATTGCATAATTCTGTGCTTTAGCAGTTGTGCAGTGCGGTTGCACACGTTGCAATTTTACGACGTCTAATCCAGCTGTTCGCTGATCTCCTACCTTCCCATATTCTTTTCTTCCAGGAACGCTGGTGGACGTTAGTAGACGCTGACAGACGCTAGATCAAGCTGTTATTGTTTAGTAACTGCTGTTCAACGCCGCAGTGCGCGATCCGAAAGCTTATCGGATCGCGCACTGCGGCGTTAAACAGCAGTTACTAAACAATAACAGCTTGAAACTTGTAAAAAGCCTTCAGCCTTGCGGTTCACTGCCGATATCGGCTAACCGGCTCATCACGTTGAACGTGTGAGTGCTCGAAGGCAATGGCACAAATAGCCATTGAGCTGAGTGGTCAAAAGTGGCCCCGGTAGCGTAATAGGGAACGCAGCTGCACGGAAAGCAGAAGATGCGGGTTCGAATCCCGTCCGTGGTCCGACTTTTGCCCATAACTCAGCATAGACGCTAGATCGAATACCTATTCTTCC